CTCCTCTCTCACTTTTCTTTTTAACTCCTACAATTTGGTTTCCTATCTCATCATTCCACCAAAACTTCTCTATGTGAAGTTACAAATGATCTCCTAATTGCCAAAACCAACGGCTTTTTTTCAATCCTCATTTTTCTTTTTCTTTTTTTAAAAAATTAATTAATTTATTTCTTTACACATAACTGAAAGTGATGTTACAGTACATCTTCTTATGAGTCCCTGGCCCCCTTATATCACCAACTACAACCTGGCCTTAGATCAATCCTACTATTCACCACCTTCACCACTCCCATACATGTACTGATGAACAAAGTTGGAGAAAATCGTGTGTTACAAAATAAGTTATCTAGAAGGCAGCAAAAGTATACATTGCTAATGTATATAAAAACTATGCATTTATAGAATACATTTTTATACGAGTATTGGCTCTGTAGTGTTTTCAAGTTATGTTCTCAGAAAGAGAAACAAAATGCCTAAGATTAAAAGAAAAAATATATAAACCACATGGATTTGACTCCATTAAAAACACAATTGGCAGAGTACTAACTCTGGGTCACCACTTGCCCCCCAACTTCTGGAGGGAATCCTCATTTTTCTTGACTTGTCTATAGCCTTTAGCACTATTTATCATCTTGTTCATAATACGCTCTTCTCTCCACGTTTTAGGCATACCACTCTCTCCTAGCCATGAATGAGACTTCTCATTCTCAGTTTCCTTTGCTGGATGCTCATCCAGGTCACATCTACTAACCATAGGTGTCCCACAGGGCACTCTCTTTCTCTTTTTCATCTATACTGCTTAAACTTGGTAATCTCATCAGCTCTCATAGATTTAGTTGTCCTGAAAGCTTGAAGAAGTCTATATGAGAATCAAAGTATAGTGTGTCTGGCTGTGGCTGATCAGACCAATATGAGCTCAGGAAGCTGTGCCACAGGTAGTCCGTATGAACATTTGGAGTGGAGATATCTGAAAATTTGCACATCTCAGGTTTCTTTTGATCTACTTCAGTTCTGCTTTGCATATAGAGCACAGTGCCTTTCTTGATTCAGTCACATTATGCTGGGAGGTCCTGCACCTCTGTTTTCCATGTCTCACAATCAATTCCAAAGTTCTTCAGAGAGACTTTGAGAGTGTCCTTGTATTACTTCTTCTGACCTCTTTATGAGAACTTGCCTTTAATTATCATTTCTATGTTGTTGATTCTCAAATTTGCTATACTGCCTTAACCTCTATGGTTATCTCCAGTCTCCCACCTCCAAAACTGCCTTTCAGACATCTCATACTGGGTGTCTAGTAGATATCTTCAACTCAACATGTCCAAAAATGAACTCATGACTTTTCCCACTAAATCCTCACCCCTTCCAAATTTCCCTGTTACTGTGAAGAGTACCAACAGCTTCCTAGTCCCTCAGGCTCACACAACCAAGATGTCATCCTTAACTCCTTACTGTGTCTTACCCTCATCTCCAAACTATTGCCATGACCTGTGAATTTAATCTTTGCAATATCTCTTGAATACACCCCCTTTTCTCCTTTGATACTGACACCACCTTGGTGCAGGCCCTAAGCATGAACTACTGTAATAGCCTGCTGAATAGTCTGCTTCCACAATTCTCTCCCTACTCCATTCTATTTTCCATTCCACAAACAAAGTTGATGATCCTAAAGTACCGGTCCAACCATGTGAACCCTCTCCTCTTCCCCTCCCTCAATGAACTCCAGTGATTATTGCCTTCAGCATCAATTACAAAATACTGTTTGGGGTTCAAAGTCCCTCATAACCTATCTTCCCCCTTCTAATGTTCCAGTCTTCTTATCCTTTACTCCCTGCCATGCACTCTTTGATCCAGTGACTCTGGCATCCTTTCTGTTCCACAAAGAAGACTTTCAGTCTCTCGGGTTTCTAGCATTTTCTTTGGCTATACTCCCGGCCTAGAATGTTCTCTCTCCTTATATCTGCCTCCTGGCTCTCCTGATTTCCTTTAAGTCACAATTAAAATCCTACCTTCTACAGGAAGCCTCAAACCCTCTTAATTCTAGTGCTTCCCCTCTGATAATGATTTCCTATTTGTCCTGTGTGTAGCTTGTTTGTACATATATTTGTTTGCTTGTTGTCTCCCCTATGTAATTGTAAGATCCTTGAAGGCATGGGCTGTCTTTTGACTCTTTTGTATCCCTAGCACTTAGCACAGTGCCTGGCACATAGTAGGTGCTTAATTTGAATAATTTTGATTCAAAACAATTATTAGAAAACTGCAGTCAACATTGATTAATTGAAGAATCAGTTATCTAGCATTCTGCTGTTCAACTCCCTGCCTTTTAGCTCAGCATCTCTAACAAAATTGGCCATGGCAAAAAATAAAACAAAAACAAAAACAAAACAAAACAAAATAACACAAACCAGGTGAAATCTTGTTATTTCTTGTAGTTCTAGTAAAAAGTTTGTTATTTGTTTTTGCCATCCCATCCTCATCCCCCCACTTAATGTGGTGGCTAATTAAGAATTAGAGAATGACAAATATAATTCAGATTTGGTTGTGTTTTTTTTTTTTGGCAATTGGGGTTAAGTGACTTGCCCAGGGTCACACAGCTAGTACGTGACAAGTGTTTGGTCTGAGGCCGGATTTGAACTGAGGTCCTCCTGACTTCAGGGCCGATACTCTATCCACTGCGCCACCTAGCTGCCCCTAGATTTGAATCTTTAGAAACAAGATACCATATTTCCACATTCATTTTATCTTATTATAAGTGTGCCACAGTGTCATGTGTTTTACTTTATACACATTCTTAGGCAAAGTATGATATTGAGATTAAAGAACCTCTCAGAAATATACTGAGCTAATATCATTAAGATGGACAGCCTATGTTTGTTAAGGAAAAAATATCAACGTAAAAATTCCTGCAATGACTGTCGTTATCTTCCTCTCAATATCCAGCATGTGCCAGGTAAGCCAAACACTGACACCACCTTGACCACCATATTTCCTTAAATTCTCATGGAGATAGCCCAGATCCTGATCTCAAGAGCCTTGGGAATAGAAGTGTCTACCTAGCCAGGAGACTTGCTTTTGGTCCAGCCCTTGGAAGTCAGTCACTGAGGGGAAATAGCATTGTAGACCTTCCTCATCACCCACAGCAACAACTTTTGACCAACTACTGCCAACCAGCTGCAGATAATCACAAGAGCCCTGGGAATGGTAGCACCTTCTTTCTAGACTATGGCTTCTGCTTCTAGCTTAGACCATACAGCTATCATTGAGGCAGGTGGTCCTATAGGAAAGGGTACATCTCCACCAATGCCAACCAAATGCCACTCAAAGGGCAGTCAAACCAGCCTATCTGAAGCTTCAGGGAACCCTAAGGGAGAGATAGGAAGCAGTATGCTCCAGGCAATTCAAACCACTGCCACTACTTTAACCACACTGTTCCAGTGTATCTCCTGAGACTGAGGGAGACAGCTCAGAACCCTGAATGCAAGGCCCTTGTAATAGCAGCACACCCAGTTGTCATCTTGAGAAGTAATCTCTGTGGAGATGACACCTAGAAACTGCTCCTGCTATAGTCACTTCTAATCCAGAAAAGAAAGTTGTTACCAAAATCTTTGGCAGTGTTAAATGGCATGACATCAGAAACTGATATGATTTTATTAGTGGAAATGACATTAAAGAAGAATCGCCATTGGCTTAACCATTGCCCTCTAATTGAGACCAACCATGGGACTTTTCCATAGAACTTGCATCTGAAATCTTCTGATTGAATTGTCTCCCTCATTGGAATGGTACCTCTTGTAGGGACTGTCTTACTTTTCTGTTTCCATCCCTAGCATGTAGCACAGTGCTTTGGACATAGTGCTTAATAAACACTTGATTGATTCACTTATATAAAATATTTTTAAAGATTCATCTACCATGGCATTCTCCTGGATTTCTTCATGTCCCCAGGAATCTCCTCATCCTGCAAGATCACAGCAACCGTGGAGTTCTCATCTCCTCTGTACTCCTTGCCGCTGGGGCCTTTCCCTTCCTCTGATTGGAGAGGGTGGAGGGTAGTTTAGAACTCTCCTTCCTTATCCTCCCTTTAGGGAGGCCAGCCAGGTCTGATAATTCTTTTCCCACTGGCTGCATTGCTCTAGATTTTATCAGTCATATCCCTCTCCCAGCTTCCTTCCTCACTCACCTCTTTTCCCCTTAGCTTCTTCTTCTTCTTTTTTTTTTTTAAATGCATCGTCTTCCCTCTTTACATTGTGAGCTCCTTAAAGGCAAGAGCTTGTCTTTTGTCTTTCTTTGTATCTCCTGTACTTAAAATATCTGGCTTGTAGTAGAGCTTAATAAATGTTTATTGACTGATTGAAACCAGTTAAGATGAGAAAACTGAGGCTCAGAAGGTTTAGAATTTGTCTAAAGTTACATAGGAAATAAGGAATCACTGTAATCTGAACACGGATCCTCACATTTCATATACCCTATTTCTATGAATCCAAATTTGTTTCTGATTGATTTATTGATAATTGATATTTGAGTATGTTATATATTTAATATAATAATCCTGTCTTTAAGCTTATTTAGAGTTTGGAGTTATATTAGTTGATATATGACAAGCCTAATGGGATGGTGATATTAGTGGCATATATTTACATAGTCTTCAATGTACTTTCACATTACATTTCTCATTCAATGACGTGACCTTATTAATTAGGTAAATTAGGTAATATATTACATGTTAGTAGTTCAGGAAGTTGTGAATTAGTGAGATTGTGAGGTAATGGGGCATAACTATAATTTGAAATCAATTCCAGTACTCTTCCCATTGTACCATTGATGCCTTTGTTTAAAAATGAAGAAAATAAAAAACAAATCTGTTCTTTTATCTTCTTTACTCCATAAAAGTGGTTAACAGTATTTTGTGGCTTTTTGTACACATTTCATAAAAATAAGTTTATGATTTCTCATAAGGGCATAAGCATGTGATTATAAATGAAAACATTTTTCTTTTTTTTTAGATATTGTAGATATGAGTGAACTGAAATTTTTTTTTGAGACCAACTACTCTCAAATATATTTCATCTTCTATGAAAATTTCATGACACTGGAAAATAGCTTAAAATTAAAAGGTAAGTTTTTTTTTCCATCAAATTATGTCATGGCATTAAAATGTATTCACATTTATGATGGGAATTTTTCTCACATGTTAAAAAACAACAAAAAGTCCTTAGTTTAGTCACTATTTCAATCTTATGGCCTCCTAAGCATTTTTGGAGGAGCTTTTTGGATGGACCATTTTGATTGAAAAAAGAATTACAGCTGTGATATTTACATTCTATCTCTTTTCATTTCATTTTATAAGGTGGTGCTAATGAACAGTGAAACAGCTAAAAAGTGTCTAGCAAGAGAAAATGGGAGGAATGTGTTGTAAAGTCTGCACTAAATCTTTATTGTTGTTCACTCATGTTAACTCTTGAGACCCCATTTGGGGTTTTCTTGGTACATGCTGGAGTGGTTTGCCATTTCCTTCTCCAGCTCTTTATAGATGAGGAAACTGAGGCAAACACCGTTAAGTGACTTGCCCAAGGTCACACAGCTAATAAATGTCTGAGTTCAGATTTGAACTCAGGAAGAAGAGGACTCTTCATGACTCTGGGCCTGGCACTCTATGCATAGAGCCATCTAGCTGCCCCAATCTACGTGAAATCATTGGTCCTGAATAGAACTAGAAAGGATCCTACTGATCATTTTAGGGTAAACACCTTTATTTTAAGGATAGGGAAACTGAAGTTAGATATAAAACATATTTCCTCCAAGGTATATAGAGCTAGAACTGTTATCCACGCCTCTAATCCTATTCTAGGGCTTAGTTTTAAGATAAACAAATGGGCTACATGTGAGTTTAGTTATTCAACAAAGAGTGGATGCTGTTCCTAATAGAGTTCTTTTCTTTCATTTATAGATGACTCTTTTGTTACTAGTAACCTCCACCAAATTCTCACTGTCAGGTTCCATTTTTAGGTGAAAGTAATTCTGGGTTCTGAAGAACCCAGGATTTGCCATTGGAGTGCTAAGTAATGTGGTGTTGCTAATCTTGAATGGCTTTAAGCACAGGGCCATTGATGATATAAAAATATCATCAGATATAAAAGCTGTCATTTGAGTATAAGCCTCACTGCTTAAAGAGTGTTTATTATTATTAGGTGATGAATTTTTATTTTTGCTCATATCAGTGCATGAAAACCCTATACTATTTTGTGGAAGGAGATTGTAATCGTCATTAGGGTAGTGTATACTCACACTGAGAAATCCTTGAAACATTAAATTAAGTAGCACAAGTTCTTATGTGATCCATTCCATATATATTCTACTATCGTAAAGACATATTTTGATTCCCGCTAATTTCCAGAGGTACCCTCAGTGATTTCTGTCTTTAATTTTTGTTGGGTACCTGATTTGTGTTCATCTGGTTTGTTGTTTTGTTGTTGTTTGTCCTTTGTTCTTGAAGGGCACCATGACATTAGGAAAGTGATATGAATTGGATTTAAGTGAAGTTTATGGTTGTTACAAATAGGTTATACTGTTTTGGAACATTTTTTTAATAATGTAAGATTTCTTAGTTATAACATATCGTGGTCTATGTACTAATCATTTATTTTTTCTGGTTTTATAGACTGCAAAAATTTTGAGATTTAATTTAGAAATAGTGTTTTATGTAAAAATTGATACAGACATTTTAAATTTTAAAATTACCTAGTTTGCATCTCCCTTCTCAGTCTTTATCTGATTCCCTAGGAATGTGGAGAAGTAAAGTACAATGTGATTTTGGCCCAAAATAACAAAAATTAAGCTCTGGATCTGGATTCTTAACCTGTTTTCCTTCTGGCAGCTAAGTGGCACAGTGGATAGACTGCCAGGCTTGGACTCATTCATCTTCCTGAGTTCAAATTCAGCCTCAAACACTTACTTATTAGCTGTGTGACCCTGGGCAAGTCACTTAGCCCTGTTTGCCTCAGTTTCCTCATCTGTAAAAGGGGCTAGTGAGGGAAATGGCAAACCATTCCAGAAGTCATGAAGAAAATGACTGAACAACAAAAAATTCTTTTGGCATTTTGGTGAAACTTTCCAGACACCTTCTCAGAACAATGTTTTTAAATGCATAAAATAAAATATGTAGAGTTACAAAAGAAATTATCTTGAAGTATAGTTATCAAAATATATAAAAGAACCAGTTCATAGATCCCAAGATCCCTCCTCTTGATATATGAAGCTATTCTTAAAATGGTGGCCTTTTTTTCTCTTTGTAAAACATATAGTTGTTCAGCAGTCAGGATATGGAGTAGGACAAATAAAACCACTTTGTCATTTTGAACTTTGTCATTTTAGTAAAGTCAGTGTTGGAACGAGAAAAATGTAAAAAGAAGAATCATGTTATACTTTGGGGTGGGAAGGGAACTTTTCTCATATTTTAGAAATCAGTTTAATTAACTGAAGAATAAATGCCTTAAGACTTTCTTTTAAAACAGCTGTCTAGAAGATTTCTAGCACTGGCATAGTAACATTGATGTTTTGTTTTTTTCTGTATTCCAGGAAATAATAAGTCGCAACGGGAGGAGCTGGACTCCATCCTCTTTCTTTTTGAAGTAAGTGGTTTTTTTTCTTTGTATTCTCAGCATTTGAATACTTACAGGAAACTAGAATTCTTTATTTTCCAGTCATTTAGTTCCAACTAAAGACAGTCATAAATAATTACATAGCAATATATTATTTGTATGTCAGAACAAAAAAGAAACTTAGTCCTATAAGTGTGTGTAGTGACAATTGTTTGAAAATTTTCTAATTGTCTTCCTATTACATTTGGCATTTCTTTGTTTTAATACAACACTACTCAGATTTCAATGGAAATATGTATGCAAAATAAAATTAAAAGCCCTTAATTTTGAAACTTAATTAAAATGAAGTTTTTCCTCAAGTTTTTAATATTAAAAGCCTTTAATCAGTAAGACTCCTCTAGTACTATAAGATGTGTTAAATCTTTGCATATTAATACTTAAGTGAGAATTAATTAGGGCAGATGTTCAATTTACACAGGCATTAAATCTGTTTTTTTTCCTCACCAAACAAATGTGTCTTTAATGTATTTGACTTTAGTTTCTTCAAAGTCATAATGTTCACTCTTGATGTATAGTTACATTTTACCAGATTCTGTCAGTAGTAGAACTTGAAAGACTTGTTGGCTACTTTTATACCACATATACCCTAATTATTGGTATTTTGACAATAGTGCTTACTTTAAGGAATTGAGTTTATGTGAGGTACTAGTAAAAAGTTATTCTTTGTAATTAGGCATATATTGTAGCCTAAAAAATATTTCCAGTTGTTGCTTTTGGAATTAATGTGGAGGCATTTATATCAATATAAGAATATACCTTGCCACTAAAAGCAGCTTAATGGAATAGAGTTTTTAAAAAATGGGAAAAGAGAGCTGCTACTCAGTGAAGTTGAGGAGCTTTGGGGTTTTATTTGCACCCCTGTTGTTCTCCCTATGAAACTGTCTTCATACTGCTCCCTAGTTAAGACATAAAATAACAAAAAGTCAGAGTTGGGAGGGACCTCAGATGTTATCTCAGAGCATTTGTTCTTAAACTGGGGTCCATAGACACCTGAGGGAGTCTGTGAATAGATTTCAGGGTATTCATGGGCTTGGATGGGAAAACATTTATACCTTTATTTTCTCTAACCTTTAACTGAAATTTAGCATTTGCTCTGATTATTTAAAAGTATTATTCTGAGAAAGAGTCCATAGTTTCACCAGACTGCCAAAGGGATCTATAACCACAGAAGGTTAAGGGCCCTGCCTGGAGGTTATCCACTCTGAGGAGATTGACAAAGTGACTTGACCTGGATCACATAGTGTCGCAGTATGAATTGAATGAACCTCCCCTAACTCTAAGTTTAATTGTTTATTTGTTCGTTTGTTTTTTCACTACATCACAGCTAATTCTAAGTTAATGGGAATAGGTTAGCAGAGTCTGAATTTTTACAAATCATATCAGTGTCAGTATTCTTAGTGTAAATGAAACAAGAAGCCAAAAAGGTAGTTGTGACTCCTAAATGGAAAGGACTCGGTTCTCTTTGGAGAAACAAATAAAGCTTATAGGGTTGCTTTTTACCATGCATTAAAAGGTAACTAACAAGGAATATAATTAAGTGGGATATTTGGTTATTTTATACTGTAGTGCCCATGTTAACCATTTGCAAAAAAAACCATGAACATTATAACATAGACATAGAGCTGGAAGTGGTCTAAGATCTAGTCTCACCCATTCCTTTTCTGGCTAAGTGTCTGTGAGGCCAAGAGAGGTGAATGAAGTTTCTTGCCCAGGGTCTCACAGGTAAGTACATAGCAGAGGTGAGATTCAAACTGGCTCCAATTCCAAAACTCTTCACACTATACCATACTGCCTTTCTAGAAGAAGAGGACAATTTTAAGGCTTATGACTTTGAAGATGGTGGTACCCTCAACAGAAATAGGGAAATTGGGAAGTGAGAGATTAAAGGGAAATATAAGTTTGGCTGTTGAAGATGCTAACGGAACATCCAAATGGGGTGGCCCAAAAGATATGTATTCAAGAATGAAGTTCTCAAGATAGATTAAGTCTGGATGTTTATATGCAGCCCATTAAATATCTTTGAGGGAAGTCTGTGTTTAGGGATAATAGGATTTAGAGCTGGAAGGAATTTTTCAAGTCATGTAGTATTCCCTACTCCCTTATTTTACTGATAAGTTGCCATTGATTTCTTAATTGCCAAATCCAATGATCTTTTCTCAATCTTCATTCTCCGTGACCTCTCTGCTGCCTGTGGCACTGTTGATCATTTTCTCCTCCTTGATGCTGTCTTCTCTCAAGGTTTTTAAATTGCTCCTCTCCTTATTTATTTATTTGGTTTGCTTCTTTTACAAGAAGTCTTTCCCAGTCCCTCTTAATTCTAGTGCTTTCCCTTTCTTAATTATAGCTTATTTGCACATATTTGTTTGTTTGCTTTCTTCTCCATTAGTCCTCTCTTCTTGAGGGCAGGGACTATCTTTTGCCTTTTTGCATCCCCAATACTTAGCACAGTGTCTGGCACATAGTAAGTACTTAATATGTGTTTATTGACTGACTTTCACTTTATTTTAGAATATAACATGAACGACATAGTTCATAAATATCCAGGTAGGGTAATGGTGATTACAAATGATGATTGAATGCTTGATGAAGCATTTCTTTATCAAGAACAGTTCATGCCAGTCCAACTTAATTTTTTTTGACAGTGACTAAATTAGTACTTGAAGGAAAATTTGTGAATATAGTTTACCTAAATTTAAGCAAAATTTTTGATAAAAATATTCCATACATTTCTGATAGAATGTTGTGGATTAGATGATAATACAATTAGATGGATTCAGAACTGGTTGGATGGTTGGACTCAGAGAATAGTTAATAGTTCATTTTCATTGTGGCAGGAAGTCTTCTGTGGAGTATCTTTTGGATCTCCTTTGTACCGTACTATTTAATGTTTTTATCACTGACTTGGATAAAGGTGTAGATATATGCTTATCAAGTGATGTAAAATTAGGAGGGATAGAGAACACTGGATGACAGTCAGGATTCACAAAAGATCTTGAAAGGCTAGAGCATTGGACTGAATCTAATAAGATGGAATACTATGGGTATAAATGTAAAGACTTGCACTTGGGTACAAAAAAATCAACTTTACAAGTTCAAAATATAGGAAAGATGTGGTTAGACCAAAATTGTGAAAAGCTGGATGATCATTCCAGTCTTGAATTCATACATTGGAAGTACCCTTTGCTCCTGTAGCCTGTCCCCCAATCATCTGCCTGATCATATGGTTCTTCTTAGAAACTCTTTTTAAAAAGGGTACCCAGGCTAATTAGTCTTCATTCCTTTCTAGACTGCACTACAGACTTTCTCTTCCCTGCCTCCAAAACCTCTTCATTCTGGAAGCTTACATGTGGAAATATGCTTTGTCCCTGTGGCATCTCCCTATGTTTGGATGGCTCCTTCTAGAACCTCCATTTAAGGAGGGTGCCCAGGCCTACTTTTTCCCTTCCGTGTCTTATTCCCCTCCATGATTATTAATTGATATTCCTTTTCATGGTGCTACTCTTGGATTTATCTGTTGTATCTGCACAGTGGGTATTTTCTTCTCCTTCTTTTCCTCCTCCTCCTTTTTCCTTTTATGTGTTCTTTCCTCCATTAGAATGTAAGCTTCTTGAGAACAAGGACTGTCTCTTGTATTTGTTTTTCTAGGGCTTAGCACAGTGCCTGGCACATTGTAAGCACTTAATAAATGCTTGTTGACTGGCCGGATTTAGCAGACCATAAGCTCAATATTGAGTCATTATAATGTGGCAGCCAAAAAAGCTAATAGAACTTTGGACTGCAGATGGAGAGACGTATCTTTTGAGAAGGTCTCACTATATTCCACTTATCAGATATCATCTTGTTTCAGTTCTGGGTGTCATAGTTCTCTAGTAGAGACAGACATTCATAAGTTGGAGAGTTTCCAAAGGAGGAAAATCAGGATGGTGCAGGTCCTTGACTCCATAGCATATGAGGATAAGTTCAATCATTTGGGCATGTTTACCTTTGAGAAGAGGAAAAATTAGGGGAATTATGATTGCTGTCTTCAGGCATTTGAAGGATTGCATGTGGAGGAGAGAGTCAGCTTTTTCAATTTGGCCTTAGAAGGCAGAACTAGGAGCAATGAGAAGAAGCTGCAAAGATGCCGATTTAGATTTGATATCACAAAAAGCAAGATGGTTTCTGTGTTTCAGGAGCTTACTAATTCTAGTAGGAGGAGACCATGGGACCTATGAGAGAATTGGCTTTGCATGTTCCACATCTTAATATTCCATATTTTAGGGATATAAAGAGAATTTGTTTGAGGTCCGAAGACATCCATAAAGAATGTGTGTGTGTGTGTGTGTGCGTGTGTGTGTGTGTGTGTGTGTGTGTGTATACAGTGAGAGAGAGCTGACAGAAAAGAAGCATCTGCAGAATTTAAAGTAGAATTCTTTTTCCTGAAAGATAAAATGTAGTTTTCATTAAGTATGTGAAAGGATTTTCTGCAGAAATTAGTGACCAGCTATTCTTATTCTTTGCTGATGATAAAATTATAAGAAAAAGGCTTAAACTTGACCCTAAAATTCTATGGTTTATACTTAGGTAAGTTTTTAAAAAAAAAATCTTCCTAATAGCCCTGTAAGGTATGTAGTAAAGTTTTTTGGGTTTTTTTGTTTGTTTTTTTAGCCCATTTTACAGATGAGGAAACCAAGTGAGTTGCTCATTATCACATAACTAACAGATGGCAGAATTGTAAATTGAAACCATCTCCTACCAAATCCAGTGTCCCACAATGCTTCTTATTTTTAAATATATTAAGATGGCTTCTTTTTATTTGCATTTCATAGTTTACTTTGGTAGATTTCCAAGTCTGTTTAATATTTGAGTACTTATTTAGTCATATTGTACCTTAAAAGTTGATAAGTATTTCAGAGAGCTGTATTCCTAGAGTTTTTTGTCAAATTTAGCTTTCAAAGTGTTTTCACATGGTTCTCTAATGAGCAAGAAAA